CTAACACACACACACAGAACCACTTCACACACTAAACACACACAGACCCCTCACACACTCAACACACTAACACACACACACAGACCACACACACACACTAACACACACACACAGACCCCTTTCACACACTCACACACACACACACACACACACACACACACACACACACACTTCACACACTAACACACACACACAGACCACTTCACACACTAACACACACACACAGACCACTTCACACACTAACACACACACACAGACCACTTCACACACTACACACACACACACACACACACAGACACACTTCAACACACTAACACACACACACACAGACCACTTCACACACTACACACACACACACAGACCACTTCACATAACACACACACACACACACCACTTCACACAGACCCACTTCACACACACACACACTTTACACACCACACCACTCACACACTAACACACCACACAGACCACTTCACACACTACACCAACACACACAGACCACTTCACACACTACACACACCACACACACAGACCACACTCACACACACACACTAACACACACACACAGACCACTTCACACACTAACACACACACACAGACCACTTCACACACTACACACACACACACACAGACCACTTCACACACTAACCCACACACACAGACCACTTCACACACAGGGTCTCAGGGTCTGAACGTCTCTGAGCTGAAACAGAAAAAAGAAAGAAAAAAAAGAAAATTGTAAAGTATAAAAATTTACAAAAATTGTTGCAGTTCTAATGTTCTGATGTTTCTGGTCACACGCAGAACTAAAAAAGACTAAACCAGGACTAAACCAGGACTAAACCAGGACTGAACCAGGACTAAACCAGGACTAAACCAGAACTAAACCAGGACTGAACTGGGATTAAAACAGGAGTAAAATGTATTTATTTTTATACTGGACTAAAACTGGACTGATGTTCCTGTCACACTCAGAGCTGGAGTCGTGTTTGTTTGTTTGTTTGTTTGTTTCTTCTGAGTCTGTTACTTCTCCAAACGCTCTGTTCCACCTTGTGATGTCATCAAGTGAACAGCTCCTTTCACCTTCAGTTCAGTGGCTCTGTGATTCCAGGACTAAAATGATCCACGTTCCTGGGTTCCTCATTGTTCCTCGTTGTTCCTTGTTCTTGTTCCTCGTTGTTTGTGTGTTTGTTTGTGTGTTTGTTTGTTTGTGTGTTTGTTTGTGTGTTTGTGTGTTGGTTTGTGTGTTTGTGTGTTTGTGTGTTTGTGCGTTAAACGTGTGAGTGACACCTGCAGGTCTCCTGGGAGCAGGGGATTCTGGGAGTTGGAGTAAAGTCGCGTTCGTGACTCGAGCTCAAATCTTCTGTTTACACCAAAACTGTGCAGTGAAGCGTCTGGTTCATCTGAGCCTCGACTCCTCCCACTTTTCTCTTTGTCTCATTTCATCCCTTTTTATTTGTTTGAGCAACACGACTGTGGATCAGAGCTTCACTAATCTTTTTTTTTTCCCTGGGAGCCTTTTTTTTTTTCTTCAACCCAAGTCCACAGACGTGACTTGTAAATTATAAAAAGTAAAGTTGTATTTTTTTATTCTTGAACATAAATGAGGAGGTTTTATTTCGTCTGTTGATCGTGTTTCTGAACATTTAGTCTGAGTTCAGATGCACCTGATGTTTCCAAATCAGATGTTTTGTCTCCATGTTTCTGTATCTGATCTTTTCATGTCTGAACCACACAGATGTGATGTTTTCACATGTGACCAGGACACTTGGATCTGTGCTCCTGAAACTGATCCATATCTGATCTTTAACATGTGACTTGAGTGTGAACAGTCAGGTCACATTCATCCACCTACACGTCATCAACAAGACACAAACGTCACTATTCTGCACTGAAGTAGAGAAAACTGTTCATGATCCATGTGACTGAAGTGAAGCACATCTCCACTCACCACAAAACACCACCACCAAAAACCTGCTCCTTCTCCTTCTCAATCTCCTCCTTAAAACAAGTCAGTTGTTCATGTTGTGGCTCCGGTACGAGAGGAACTTTAAAATCTCCAGGTGCTCGATGCTGCGTCCATGTTTGTTCAACTTGTGTAAACACAGAGACGCTCGCTGCGGTTGACGTCGTCGTGTCTCCAGTGTCACATGTGGGACACTTTTGGACCGTTTAATGTTCACACTGGAGTCACATACAAGTCACATTTAACTGGAAATGTGAACGACCTGAAAAAACATCAGATTTCACACAAAAATCTGAGTTGAGCGTTAAACCTGCAGACTGAACGGAGATTTAGTTTGACTTAAGTTTTAAAACCATGAAAATCACTGAAGCACAAATAAAAGGATCTGTTTCTTTTCCACTCGTGTTTCAGAATCTTACTCTTGGTGATATATTCACACAAACACACACACACGTATATAATCACACAAACAAACACAAACACACACATCCACATCTGGATCTAAAACATTCACACTTCAGCAGCAAAAAAAGAAAATTAATTTATCACCTGAGACAAAAGTTTCTTTTGGTTGAATCGTCCAAACTGATTCTTCAAGTTCAGACAAATTTAATTTCTCCTTTTGTCGTGGATTTTACCTCAACAACCCAGAGATTTGACACACACACAACATTTATTAAATATAAACACACAAATATGTTTTTATTTATGGTCACACAAACTAAACAATAACGAGAATTAAAAATTTAATGATTTTTTTTGTTTTGTTTTTTTCTTTTTGTTTATGGTCGTGGAAACTAATAATAATAGTAAAAAAAGGCACAAAATTTTATCATTTATGATCAAACAAAACAAACCACAATGAAAATAAAAAATGTAAAGTTTTTTTGTTTGTTTTGTTTGTTTATTTCAGGATGAAACTGTGACACTGATCCAGACAAACAAAAGAAAAAGAAAGAGAAAAACCTGAATGAAATAATCTGCTCTTTTTTTAATCTCTTTTTTAAACTCTGTTCATGAGGCAAATACAAAACAACAGGAGAAAATAAAACTGTGAAAGTGTTTGAAAAAGATAAACGTCGGTGATGAATCGGTTTCATTCTCTGTTGGTTTTACCTTTTATTTGGCGTTGATGTGGTGGTGCGAGGCCCCTCCCTCCTGCACGTGTGTTTGGGAGCAGATAACCTCCCTCCCTCCTTCCCTCCCTCCTTCCCTCCCTCCTTCTCTCCCTCCCCCCCTTCCCTCCCTCCTCTCCCTCTTCCCTCTTCTCTCTCCTTCCTCCTCCTTCTCTCCCTCCTTCTCTCTCTCCTTCTCCCTCCTTCTCCCCCTCCTTCTCTCTCTCCTTCTCTCCTCCTTCTCTCCTTCTCTCCCTCCTTCCCTCCCTCCTTCCCTCCCTCCTTCTCTCTTTCTCTTTCCATCTCTCCGTCCTTTCTCTCTCTCTCTCTGGGTAAATCAAACGGGGAGAGGGGGCGTGTCTTGTGGTTCTGGGGGCGGACCACAGCGATCAGGCTTTTCTCGTTTTCGATTTAAAAACCCGTCGCTCAAAGCAACGCCACAAAGGACGAGAAAAAAGATGAGAAGAAGGACGAGAAGAAGGACGAGAAGGCACCAAAATCTCTGAAACGCTTCATTCATTTTTGCAGATTTTTAAAAAAAAGAAACGTGACTGAAATTTTATATTTTTAAAACTCAAACTGGAACTGAAAAGCAGCAAATCTTTAAAAATGTAAGAAGAAATTTGACCATTTTAATTTCTTATATTTTTATTTGATTTATTGATTCACTTGTGTTTCTTTTTAGAGGGACTAAAACAAGGACTAAAACAAGGACTAAAACAGGACTGAACCGGGACTAAAAAAGGACTGAAGACAAATTAAAACAGGACTGAAATTTAATATTTTTAAAACTCAAACTGGAACTGAAAAGCAGCAACTCTTGAAAAATGTGAGATGAAATTTTGACCGTTTTAATCTCTTATATTTTAATTTCATTTGTGTTTCTTTTTAGAGTTTAAAAACCCGGAGGAGCAGTGGAGGTTAAAGTGTAAACTCAGCTCTTTGTCTGATTCCGACTCGAGGGTAAAACTCTGCAGGTCGGAGCTTCTGTCGTGACTCGTTTCTTCTCTTTTCTCCACAGGATTTGGAAACGTCGCGTTGACGAACGGGAAACGTCCTGAGCGCCGCTTGTTCGTTTGTTCGTTCGTTTGTTCATTTGTTCGTTGGATTTAAACCCTGGAGGATTTTTTTTCTGGACTCGTCCGGTCGGTGTCAGAGTTTTGACATGAGCCGAGTGAAAAGCTGCAGCAAAACTCCAAAAGAAAAAAGATGATTTATTTATCAGAGAAAAATATTTTATTCATATCAGAGGAAACTGGAGAACTGGACTAAAACAGAACTGAAACAAGGACTGAAACAGGACTAGAACAGGGATTAAACCGGGACTAAACCAGGACTGAACCAGGACTAAAACAGGACTGGACTGGGACTAAAGTAGGACTAAACCAGGACTAAAAAATGACTAAAACAAGGACTGAAACAGGATTATATCAAGACTAAAATAGGTCTAAATCAGAAGTAAACGAGGACTAAAGCAGGACTAAACGGGGACTGTAGCAGGACTAGACCAGGACTAGACCAGGACTAGACCAGGACTAGACCAGGACTAGACGGGGACCAGCCGAGTCCTGAAGCGTGTGAATATTTCTGGTGGCGTTGACTGCAAACATCTGCAGTGCCGCTCAGGACTCGATCAAAGCACCTCGTCGTTTCCACTTTTCCTCCGGACGTTTTCAAGACTAAAATCTTCATGTTTTTCCTCCGATTTTTGCTCAAACTCTGATTTTTCACGTGAATTGTGTGATTTTTTTTTTTTTTTGGGGTTTTTGTTGGTTTTTGGAGCGTGGTGCGTTCACTGGCATCAGATAAGACTGCGGCTCGTTCACTGACCTTCAGCCCAGCGTCAAAAAATCAGAGCTTTCCTCAAACACGGGAACATCAGGATCATCAGGAACGTCAGGAACATCAGGAACATCAGGAACGTCCGGACACACGAGGAAAACCATGAAGGCACCAGCGAGCGTCCTGCAGAGCCGAGGACACAGACGCACAGACACGGCACAGGGAGGATAAGGTGAGCAATTTTATAATATTTGATTTTATTTGATTTATTTTTTATAATCTCAATTTAAGTGATAATGATCAGTATAAATCTTACCTCTGTGTATTTTTTTGTTTTCAGCAGAATCTGTGAAATGTTCTGTAGATTGGGACATTTCTGTTCACCTGCAAAATAAAGAAAAAAATAATAAATTAATTAAATAAATTAAACCAAATTAAAATAAATTATTAATATTATAATAATAATAATAACAACAATAATAATAATAATAATAATTTGCAGTAATTTAAAATGTTCTGTAGATTTGAGACATGTTCACGTTTCTGCTGAAAATAAAGGAAAAAAAAGATGAAATAAATAATAATAATAATGTATAATAATAATAATAATATTTATTATTAATAATAATAATAATAATAATAATAATAATAATAATAATAATAATAATAGTAGTAGTAGTATTTGAGTTGTTTTAGTTTGTGTGTGTTTTATTTTGAGCCTCATAAATACTTTTTCTTTCTAATGTTTTTTTTATATTTATTTTTTGATGTATTTATTTTGGGCAAGTACAGATTTAGATTCTTACACAACAGAACAAATCAAACTAGAAATAAAAATAACCAAAACAAAAAAATGTGTCCAAAAAGAAGAATGTTGAAGAATGTTCTGATGTAGTCAGATGTCTGATAGTAACAGTAACAGTAACAGTAATAGTAACAGTAACAGTAATAGTAATAGTAACAGTAACAGTAATAGTAACAGTAACAGTAATAGTAAATAGTAACAGTAATAGTAACAGTAATAAGCAGTAATAGTAATAGTAACAGTAATTAAGTAATAGTAAAGTAACAGTAATAGTAACAGTAACAGTAACAGTAATAGTAATGTAACAGTAAAGTAAAGTAACAGTAACAGTAACAGTAATAGTAA